ATACAGTATATATATATATATATATATATATATATATATATATATATAAATGTCATTTTTTAAATATATTTTGTAACTTTAAAATGCTAAAATATAAAAAAAATATATAGAAACTAGGAAAATAATACAACAGGTACCTGAATCGACCACAAAGCGCACTCCATCTATAGTGACTGAGGTCTCAGCAATATTGGTAGAAATGATGCATTTTCTCACACCAGGAGGTGCAATGTCAAACACCTGAAGGTCAAAATCCATACATAGAGAAATTATTTTAAAATAATATACCATTCAAACGTTTGGGGTCAGTAAGATTTTTTTTTGTAATGTTTTTGAAAGACGTCTCTTATACTCACCAAGACAAAACATTTATACAGTAAGGCAGAGAAAAACAGCGAAACCGTAAAATTGTGGAATGTTATTACAATTTAAAATTATAGTTTTCTATTTTTATATATTTTAAAATGTAGCTTATTCCTGCTATGGCAAAACTGATTTTCAGCATAATTTATCCAGTCTTTAGTGTAACATGATCCTTCAGAAATCATTCTAATATGCTGATTTGCTGCTCAAGAAACATTTATTATCATTACCAATTTTGAAATCAGTTTTTGCTGCTTAATATTTTTGATATACTTTTTTCAGGTTTTTTCAAGTAACAGAAAGTTCATAAGAACAGCATTTACTTGAAATAAAATCTATTACATTACATTATAAATGTCTGTACTGTCACTTTTGATAAATTGAATGCATCCTTGCTATTGATTTCTTTCAATAAAAAAAAATAGCATTGACCATTTGGATGAAAAGTAAAAGAAAAGCAGAAAGGAGAATCACTGATCAAAAGCTAATCAAAGAAACATCTAATGCATAAAGATTGTGACGAATCCACCATCTCGCTGTCCTGAATGAACCTGCTCTGGTGCAGAAGTACCTTATCCTGCTGGGCCAGTGAGAGAGTGCTGTGCAGAGGGAGGACGATCCAGCGCTGAGTGTGTGTGGCGTATGCCTGACAGGCCTCCTGGATGGTGGAGATCTCAGCCACTCCGCTGAGGAACAGCAGCAGGTCTCCTCTCTCCTCCGGCGGGTACCGCTGGTCAATACCCTGCAGCACACGCAGATACGGCCGTGGGTCCAGTTTCTCCGAGCGGGACACCTGCTCTTCTGCAGGAATGGGCTGGTAGATCACCTTCACACACAAGCACAGAATACACTTACACCGCAATCAGTTTACAAAGACCCACACACATTGAAAAACAGTAAAGGATGCAGCGAGCTCACCTGAATGGGGAAGAGTCTGCCTGGCACCTGCAGAACAGGTGCACTGTTGAAATAGCTGGAGAAGAGTTTGATGTTGATGGTGGCCGACATGAGGACCAGCCGCAGGTCTGGGCGCAGGGGCAGAAGGGAACGCAGCACTCCCAGCAGGAAGTCACAGTGCAGGTGTCTTTCATGCACCTCGTCCACGATCAGCACCTGGTACTGGCCCAGGGAAGCGTCCCGCTGGATCTGCCGGAGCAGGAGACCCTCGGTCAGGAACAGCAGTTTGGTAGCTGTGGTGCGGCTGCTCTCAAAGCGGATCTGGTACCCAACCTGAAGACAGAACATACAAGACAAAATGTTTTCCCAACTCATTTTCATTTAGAAATAAAAAAAATAGTATTATATATATATACACACTGCCAGTCTTTTTAAATATTTTTTAAGAATTCTCTTCTGCTCACCAAGCCTGCATTTAATTGATCCAAAAAGCAGTAATATTGTGAAATATTTTTCCTATTTAAAATAACTGATTTCTATTTGAATATATTTTAAAATGTAATTTATTCTTGTGATTTCAAAGCTGATTTTTTAGCATCATTACTCCAGTCTTCAGTGTCACACGATCCTTCAGAAATCATTCTGATCTGATTTGCTTCTCAATAAATATTTATTATTAATATTATTAATATTTAAAACAGTTGAGTAAATTTTTTTCAGGATTCCTTGATGAATAGAAAGATCCAAAGATTAGCATTTATCTGAAATAAAAAAATTTTGACTAGTAGTAGTATATATATATATATATATATATATATATATACACACACACTAGTTCTACTTAGTATGTCTGTTAATGATTCTAAACCCATACATAAGCATAAATATAACTATATTATATTGGTAAAATGATCAAATTTTGGTTTTATGAACCACTTTTATTTATTTGTACACAGATATTCAGAAACCCAAAGGTGTAGAATATATACATAAAATTATAATGTCAAATTATGAAATTAGCATTATTTTTTAAAACTATTTCAATTACTTTGTAAAGCATTTCTGTTAATAATTTCTGCTTTAAAAATGCCATACCTAATGTCAGAGTTTCAACTAGCATATTCTATTATTATTATTAGCCATAATAGAAATGCTATGCAATTAGAAAATTAAGCCTGTTAACATTTAAGAATTAAGAACAGTTATGTACATTTTCATACCTAATATTCATTTCCATAATGACAAAAGTAATTAAAATCACCTTGTACTAATACTAGTGTTTTTTTTAACAACTGAAATGCAAATATTGTTTGTTTATTTGTTGTGGAAATAATATACTAAAGCGGAAAGATCTTTGCACCTTGGAGCCGTACTGGTTGAGGCTCTCAAAGCTGACTCTCTTGGCCAGTGAGATGCAGGCAATGCGGCGAGGCTGAGTACAGGCTATGTGGTTGAACCCTGATGCCAGCAGATACTGGGGCACCTGTGTGGACTTCCCACATCCCGTGTCTCCAGCCACCACCACCACAGGATGAGTCCGCACCAGCTCCACTATCCTGTCCCGGTACTGGAAGATGGGGAGGCTCTTCTGCTCCTTTCTTAACTTAGAAAGCTTGTTGAAGCTCTGCTTCTGGTTGAAATCTAGGAAATGGAGGAGGGCAAGACGGCAGTCTGTGATCTCCTGCCTGCCGGGACCAGAGGGGCCCCTGCGCCTCTTGTGCTCAGATCCTCCCAGGAGCTCCTCTATGTCTTTGGAGCACACTGAGATGTTGATCCTGTACCTGGCATCGTAATCCTTTGGAAGCCCCAGATCCACAGACTCAGACTTCTTCCTGTCTTTTCCCTCGTGTGATTCCTGCCTGCTGGATTTGGCTGCTGACATCTCTCTCTTGGCTCTGAATCTCTGGAAGCGCTCAAAGAAGCTCCAGAACTCCTTGTGTTCGGCGCTGCCCGTCTGGATGTAGTCATGCTGGCGGAAAAACACCTCGTCCAGCTGGGCTCGACACCGAGGACTATCCCAGTCCCAGCTCCGACTCTCCTCTCGCTCATGGGACATCTTTAAGCAGAGACGGCTTTCAATTACTTCCAAGTATACAACGCACAACTGTTCAAATATTCATACAGCTCACATTAATTTCACATTATCATTGTTGGTGTTTCTAGTAGATTTCTCTCAGGTATTGTAAAGTTCATTTGATGGCTACATTTTTGTCATATTTACGCTTCACGAAACTTGAAGGGACAGTTCCAACTTCCTGGTCCGTCTGTGTTTACAGTCCGGTTCAACACATAATGGTTCCTACTCCAACAGCTCAGGCATTCTGCGTATTGAAACGCAATACTACATTAAAAACAATAATTACTGTGTATGAAAAGCGTTTGTGGCCTGCAAAGAAGCCTGACTCGCTCTTGCACTAGCACATTTGTCTTTCCCCCCGCCCCAGGTATATGGGCAGTTAACATGACAGCAGAGTAAAAACGATTTGAAACAAACTTTTTATATTTTTTTATATAAATATACATAGTTGTATGACCTCCCACTAACTGAAAGACTGCAAAGAAGATTGTTTTTGTACAAAATAAAATAAATGCTCACAGGAGCATTTCAATTACTGAGGAAAACAAAAGTAATTTTGGTAAAACCTGGTAAAATTGGAAGTTTAAGGAAATGGATGGTTAAAAAAAACAAAAACAAAGAACGGTTGCATAATAATTGTTCATTCATAGAGGTGTAATTCTTAACCAGCTGCGTTGTTCAACACTATTAACAATGAAATGACAGACTGTGTATAGGTCTACTATACTATTGATTGACAACATCTGAAATCATGCAAGTCTGTATTTAGTTATCAAACAAATCTCCAATATGCAGAACATGAATGGAAAATGTACTTCTAGAACCGGTTTGTCGCACTCTTTTAGTAAAAGTATAACACATATTTCACACTGCATTAACCAGATACACATTTTATTTGTTAAATTGTTAAATCATGCTGGATGAAACAATGTTTTTTTGTTTCTAAATGTATTTTTAAAGTGTTAAACGTAATCCCTGAATCAAATTTAAAGCACTCCAGACTTCTTTTCAAGTGTTTCCATGTGTAACTCAAACTTTGTTTAAAATCACATTACATACATACATATTGCACAAGTCATAAAACGACTGAAGATGTTCACATTTAAGTATGTGAGTGTGACTCCAGAAATACACACTCCTTGAACCAAAAGTAAACCGAAGGTACAGACCAAAACTAAAAACTAAATCATTCACATTCAAATAAGTAAAGCTTCACTTTAAGAATGTAGAAACCACAAAACCTTTAAAAGGAGAAAATAGGACATTTATTTACACACCTTAAGACAGAATAAAACCCTTATACCGCTCTCATAAAATATACAAACATATAAAACAACTATTAGACAAAAAACAGGTCAAAAGTCCATCCCTCTCTTCAGCCAGGCTATGCTGGCTTATTCCATGTATGCTATTAAAACATTTGCGACCAGTTCATAAAACTTCTCACAGTTCATTATAATCTTCGAGCAACTTATACTCCTGTCTTCTCCTTGATCCAGGCCCTGAATTTTGGCATGTTTGTGTAGATGCCAGGCTTGTCTCTGCGAGCACAACCATCACCCCAGCTCACCACTCCCGCCAGGTACATACGCTCATTTGATAAAATGGACATAGGACCACCAGAATCACCCTGAGTAAAGAAAAAGGGTGTTAGTTATGTTAAGATATGCCCAATATTCAAATTCTGACTGATATCAAAAAGCAAATAATCATTTTTATTTTATGGGGAATAACCAATAAATATAAAAATTCTATAGACTGATATTAAAAGTCTATAGTATTTTGTCTAAATAAATAAAAAATGTACCTGTAGAAACAAAAATCAATTATTTTAAATGCACTGATATTAAAATTCTGGCTAATAGCAAAAAGCTAACCATTTTCATTTTATGGTCAATAACAGGCTGATATTAATAGTCTATATTATTTTGTCAAAATAAAATAAACATTAAACAGTACAAACAAAAATCAATGATTTTTATATGCTACAGGAATGCACTGATATTAAAATTCTGGCTAATAGCAAAAAGCTAATAATTTTAATTTTATGGTCAATAACAGGCTGATATTAATAGTCTATATTATTTTGTCAAAATAAAATAAAAATTAAAAAGTACAAACAAAAATCAAAGATTTTTATATGCTACAGGAATGCACTGATATTAAAATTCTGGTTAATACCAAAAAGCTGATAATTAAATTAATTAACTAAATATAACAACAACAATAATCTCTATATTGTATGATAATCAATAAAAGGCCAATTTTAAATTCACTACTACTTAAAAAAAAAAATAAAACTATAAAGTAAAACACTAAAATATTTTTAAATGCCTTAACTGAATTTAGGCATCACATCATTATCATGTACAATATGAAAAATCAATATTAATTTTGAGATTTGACAAAGATTACATTGAACAGTGTTATTAAATTATTATTAGTATGTCAGCATCAAAGGCTATTTTCATGGCAAAAACAATTTAAAAAATACAAGTATAACAAATACAATAAAAACCAACAAACAAGTTATATCACACAAGATTTTTTACAATAACGTGATAAAAAGTCTAAAACTTTTCCTGGCAAAATTTTACTAAATAACCCTTTAAGTGAGTTCACTTCATAAAAGAGTTTTCTCTGTACTATTAAATTATTATTAGTGTTTTTTAAGATCAACTTTAAGTGAGCATTATATGATGGCAAAATAGATCTAAATCTAAAGATAGGGAAAATGAGCATTAACAAATAAATATCCAATGTCGACCAAAACTGATATTGTAAAAAAAGTTATTAATAAAAAAAATGTACCTGTAGAAACAAAAATCAATTATTTTAAATGCTACATGAATGCACTGATATTAAAATTCTGGCTAATAGCAAAAAGCTAATAATTTTAATTTTATGGTCAATAACCAATAATAGGCTGATATTAAAAATCTATTATTATTTTGTCAAAATAAAATAAACATTAAAAAGTACAAACAAAAATCAATGATTTTTATATGCTACAGGAATGCACTGATATTAAAATTCTGGTTAATACCAAAAAGCTGATAATTAAATTAATTAATTAAATATAACAACAACAATAATCTCTATATTGTATGTATCAATAAAAGGCCAATTTTAAATTCAATACTACTTAAAAAAAATAAAACTATAAAGTAAAACACTAAAATATTTTTAAATGCCTTAACTGAATTTAGGCATCACATCATTATCATGTACAATATGAAAAATCAATATTAATTTTGAGATTTGACAAAGATTACATTGAACAGTGTTATTAAATTATTATTAGTATGTCAGCATCAAAGGCTATTTTCATGGCAAAAACAATTTAAAAAATACAAGTATAACAAATACAATAAAAACCAACAAACAAGTTATATCACACAAGATTTTTTACAATAACGTGATAAAAAGTCTAAAACTTTTCCTGGCAAAATTTTACTAAATAACCCTTTAAGTGAGTTCACTTCATAAAAGAGTTTTCTCTGTACTATTAAATTATTATTAGTGTTTTTTAAGATCAACTTTAAGTGAGCATTATATGATGGCAAAATAGATCTAAATCTAAAGATAGGGAAAATGAGCATTAACAAATAAATATCCAATGTCGACCAAAACTGATATTGTAAAAAAAGTTATTAATAAATTAAATCTCTAAAACTGACCACTAAAGCAAATAATTAAATAAACAGAAATAAAAATATACATGCTTTAAAGGGGAAAAAATCATGTGTACTTGTATGTTTAAAGCACTTGCAGTGTGCTTCTGCTCCATTCATCAATGGACTTTTAAGCGGCGTATGAAACCCACCTGGCAAGCATCCACTCCTCCTGACAGAACGCCAGCACACGTCATGCGAGATGTGATCTGACCATTCATTAGTTCGTCACACACCGTGCTGTTGATGATGCGAACATTCGCCTTCTGCAGCACAGTCGCTCCAGAGCCTGAAATAAACACACACACAAATCAAACACCAAGTTAAAGAACTGAATCCCTATTCATCGTTAGTTCATATTCACTCAGGTCCAATATAAATATTAGCAGTTACAACTTTTAGTTTTTATAGTGTATTAGTAAATGTCAAAATCAACTAACTAATAACATTAAAGGTGGGGTAAGAGATTTTTCAAAAACGCTTTAGAAACCTGATTTGGGCCGACTAGCAAAACAAACTTGTAGCCAATCAGCAGTAAGGGGCGTGTCTACTCATGAAGCAGAGGAGAGAGCGTTCAGTGCACAGGACGGACATTAGCCGAGCCGAGCGACAGAAAGATAGAAATGGCAGATAAAAAATAAAAGATGAAAAGGTCTGCGGAACAAAAGAAGGCTTAAGGCAAGAAGTAGGACCCGTGTAAATATCGGATCAGCTTTCCAGCGCTGCAGAGAACTCAAGGAGCGGAAGGTCTGCGATCGGACGCCGAGGTTGCTTTGTTTCTTCTCGATAGATGAGTAACACCGTGTCTGCGCCGCAACAGCTAAAGTCTGTCTAGTACACTGGACGCGACAAAGCGACCGTTGAAAATCATTTGAAATTTGTGTCAATACGTCATAAATAGAACGCAGCAGCAGGTTCCTGTCGGGGATTTGTCGTGTCGTGCCGCGCCGCATCCAGTGTAGACCATAGATATGTACTGTATATATATCTATGGTGTAGACCGCATCACTGATTATAATGAGTTCTATAGTATTTTGCCGCACCACTCGCATACGGTGTAACATTGGTTTTGCTTTGTTTCACAGAACTAATCGTTGTCACTCAGGTCCAATATAAATATTAGCAGTTACAACTTTTAGTTTTTATAGTGTATTAGTAAATGTCAAAATCAACTAACTAATAACATTAAAGGTGGGGTAAGAGATTTTTCAAAAACGCTTTAGAAACCTGATTTGGGCCGACTAGCAAAACAAACTTGTAGCCAATCAGCAGTAAGGGGCGTGTCTACTCATGAAGCAGAGGAGAGAGCGTTCAGTGCACAGAACGGACATTAGCCGAGCCGAGCGACAGAAAGATAGAAATGGCAGATAAAAAATAAAAGATGAAAAGGTCTGCGGAACAAAAGAAGGCTTAAGGCAAGAAGTAGGACCCGTGTAAATATCGGATCAGCTTTCCAGCGCTGCAGAGAACTCAAGGAGCGGAAGGTCTGCGATCGGACGCCGAGGTTGCTTTGTTTCTTCTCGATAGATGAGTAACACCGTGTCTGCGCCGCAACAGCTAAAGTCTGTCTAGTACACTGGACGCGACAAAGCGACCGTTGAAAATCATTTGAAATTTGTGTCAATACGTCATAAATAGAACGCAGCAGCAGGTTCCTGTCGGGGATTTGTCGTGTCGTGCCGCGCCGCATCCAGTGTAGACCATAGATATGTACTGTATATATATCTGTGGTGTAGACCGCATCACTGATTATAATGAGTTCTATAGTATTTTGCCGCACCACTCGCATACGGTGTAACATTGGTTTTGCTTTGTTTCACAGAACTAATCGTTGACTGGGTTGCGTACGCATGTGTGGGGCGGAGCTATCAAAATAGGGGCGAGACCCTTTTGGGGTAGGGGCGTGTTTTTTTTTGGGGATTTCAAATGTCAACATTGGCCACCAGAAATCGCTTACCCCACCTTTAAGATTAATAAATGCTTTAGAAGTATTTTTCATTGTTTATGTGAACTAATGCAGTTATCTAATGTTAACAAATGGAACCTTATTGTAAAGTGTAATTGATAAGAATTTCTGATCTTGGGGTGAAATATGGCAGGCTTTGTGAAAGGTATAAAGCATTATTGTGTGGCTCTTTTACTGACCCCCTTCTCTAGTGGCACCCCAGCCGGAGATAGAGACCGTTTCACCAGCGGGGAAGACGTCAGTGGCAGTGGGCAAGCAAATGGGTCGAATGGTCGCACTGAAGGTCACGGGTGAGTCCAGCTCCATCAGAGCGATGTCATTGTCATAGGTGTGGGAGTTGTAGTTCTTGTGAGGAATGATTTGTTTTAGCAATTTCTTTGTTGCCTTCTGTTTCTCTTTTTGTGTATGGAGACCCAAGTATGCTTCCCATGTGCCCGGCTGAGAATATCTGTCAATTAATCAGGTGTACAGACATGAACATTTTCTCTTCCATTCTAAATGTCTAAAGTAAGAAAACCAATGTAACTGACAAATTAATTTACGAGTGTACTGTTTATAGTAACCTTTTTAAAGCAGTGTGTAAAGCCACAAACAAAACAATGTTTTACACAAGACGCATGCAGTTTTATTTTTTAACAGCTAGAACTTCTCAGAACTTTTGCCATTTAATACAAAGATGTTTACTTTTTACACAACCATTTCTAAAGACATCTCTTCTGCTCTCCAAAGCTGCATTTATTTGAAAAAAAAAACAGTAAAAACAATAATATTGTGAAATATTTTTACATTTTGTTAATAATAATAATTCATTACATTTATATAGCACTTTTCTAGGCACTCAAAGCGCTTTACATTGTCAGGGGGTATCTCCTCATCCACCACCAGTGTGCAGAATCCACCTGGATGATGTGACGGCAGCCATAGTGCGCCAGAACGCCCACCACACACCAGCTTATAAAATGTTTTCTATTTGAATATTTTTTGTAATTTATTCCTGTAATGGCATAACTGAGTTTTCGGCATCAGAAATCATTCTAAAATGCTGATTTGCTGCTCAAGAAACATTTCTCATTATTATCAGTGTTCAAAATTTTTACTGCTTAACATTTTTGTGGAAATCGTCATATACTACCATTCAAAAGTTTGGAGTAAAATTTAAAGATTAAAAACAAGAGAGAGATTAATATTTTTATTCGGAAAGGATATATTAAATTGATAAAGTGACAGTAAAGACATTCATTAGGATTTCTATTTCAAATAAATGTTGTTAATTGAACATTATTCATCAAAGAATCCTGAAAAAAGTATCTTTTTAAAAAAAAATTTTTTAAAGAAAGCAGCAACAACTCTTTTCAAACATTGATAATAAAGAGAACCATTATTAACTGAGCACCAATAATAACAGATAACAATTGAGCAGCAAATCAGCATATTAGAATGATTTCTGAAGGATCATGTGACACTGAAGACTGTAGTAATGATGCTGAAAATTCACCTTTATCACAGCAATAAATTATATCTTAAAATATATTCAAAAGGTTATTTAAATTTCAATAACATTTCACAATCTTACATTTTTTACTGTGTATATTCAATTAAATGCAGCCTTGGTGACGTCTTTCATAAACATAAAAAAAAAAAAAACGTAATTATTCCAAACTTTTGACCTGTAGTGTAAGTGTCCAAACAGTTTTTGAAGCCAGTGTACTGAGACATGTTTAGTTAATGGTGCAGTTAAAGAAAGAAAAGAGAAAATTTACTTGATTTTTGGATCATCTTGTACGCAGTGGGCAGCCGTCACAAGCCATCGTTCACTGATGATTGATGCACCGCAAACATGTGCTGTGTTTTTAACGTGCAGGCTGACCTGCCATGGGAACTCGCCCACATCCGCTTCCTGCCCACCCACAATTCGAGACTTTGTGTAAGCCCTCTTACCACAGTCTAGAGGACAAAGCAAGAGCGAGAGATAGAAATCAATGCTAAACAATGCAGAATATGTGTTGAAGAATAGATGCGAGGAAGTGGAAGCCACGCACTGCAGTTGGACTCGTCTGAGCCGTCGTCGCAGTCATCTTGCCCATCACACATAGGGTTCGGTTTGGTTATGCATTTGCCATTACCGCACATAAACGTTGAGTCTTTACAAATCTCTGTATGAAAGGATGAAAAACGCAACGAGAACATATGAAGAGAAAGAAACTGCTTTAAGTCTCCAAATGTTTTCAAAATATATTCTCTGAATAGTTCTGAATGCAATAAACAATAAAAAATAATACTAAAATAAATTGTATTATTCTTTATCTAACATCTCATCACCTCTTGAACAGCCGTCTTCATCGGAGCCATCTTTACAGTCACGATTCCTGTCACACTTCTTCATCTCTGAGACACACTGATTGTCGTTGCATTTAAATTCTCCAGTCTTACAGCCTGCCAGAAAAGAGGACAACTATGTTAAACCAGGTGAGGATGTGTTTCTGAGTGGGGGTAGAATGAGGCAGAGAGAGAATACAGAGGCCCATCAATAGACAGCATTTGGTCCTCGGGTACCTCCTGAGGAAATGGGTTTCAGAGTAGTTTCCAAATCACAATAATGTCATGTATTGAATTTGCTCAATACATTTCTAAGTCATCTCCTCTAAGTTATCAAATTTTGGCTGGAAACCTGTTGTACACAATCTAACACATGCTTTCTGTCCTCTGATTGATCGTTCCTTTTATTTTATTTCATTTCATTTTAGTGTTATTATAAAAACAGCCTCCTTCAGGTCATGGTACACGTGTCTTTTTACTGTTAAATCTTTTTTTTCATAAAGTGAATGGAAGACTAACTTTTATATTGTTATTAAAGATGATCATTTACTAGACGGAGGCAACTATCCTTTTTTCTTTTTTGAAAAATCCAGTTAAAATGTGAGTATCAAATATGAAACATTAGGTTCAGTCATCATTGTTTTGTATTGGATTATATGTTTTGCCTCCCACAATAAAAAAAACAAGCATGTAAATACCTTAAAGTACTTAAGTACAAAGTGACAAATTATATTTATAAGCACTTTATGCAACTAGTTGGTTACACTGTTATAAAGATCTCACTGATTCACGTTACAAGATATCAGAATTTCATTTTTGGTGTATAAATATCAGCATCTGCACCAAATTGCATCTTTTTTGCTCATTTTGTGCCTCTGAATAAAATTGAGGTGTTTTTTCTTCCAAGCTCCATATTCTCTTATATAATACTATATGATCCATAAAAGCATTTATCTGACTATTATTTCATATGACAGGCTTTACAGAGTTAACTAACATCACTGCATTATAAAAACAGATCATTAATTATAGAAAATAATAGAACTGAAATGGCATAATGGCATTATTAACGAATTTCAAATGTTATATGGTTTATATATTCTCCACGGTCCTGATTAAAACTAGAAATCTAAGTGAATAAAATGCTGATTTCTTGGTAGAAATAGCGATAAATATTTTTAAAAGCCTATAAATAATACATCTATGCTGTTTTCAGAAACTGAGATGATTATGGTATCTTTGTATACTGAATGTTATGAAATCAATGAATTCTCCTGTGTCTTCATGCCCTCTCGTTATATTGGCTGTGGAGGCAGCATTTCTCACATTTGGATGCATATAGAAGGAAAATTGAAAGAAAAGACTAAGAGAAAGGAAGAAGGAAAAGGGTCCTACCACAATTAAGTTCATCTGTATCATCTCCACAGTCATTTACACCATCACACCGCCATAACATCGGCTTACAGATCCCGTTTCTGCACTGGATCATGCTGGCATCACATTCTGAAATCCACATTCAAACACCGTATATCTGAACTCGAGTTCATATTCAGAGAGTAAGGGTGTAATTCTGTGTGTGAATTTAAGACAATGTTCACTGCGCACTTACTGCAGCTCCTCTCGTCTGTGCTGTCACCACAATCGTTCCAGCCGTCACAGCGCAAAGATGGGTTTACACAGCGTTTGTTGTCACACTGGAACTTATCTGGGCAGGCTGAGAGATTCAGAAACTGAATTTACTTTTTAATGTTCACACTGACACCACTTTAAAACTGGCATCAATTAGTCTATTTTTTCACCTCATGCCAGACTGCTACTAATAATAAAAGTTTGAGGCCCAATCCCAATTCTATTTTATACCCCTTCCCCTTCGCCTACCCCCTGACACTCTATTTCAAATATTTGAAAATATTCCCCTAAGAATTGGGACACCACTACTATGCCGTCACACGTCATCATATGTCGTCTAGCTCCTACAATACACACACCTATACTGGTGTGCTGGTGTGCATTAGAGCCTTTAATTACCGTTCTATATTAACGCGCTGCTTACTGACACACACACACACACATTAGATATCGCGCAGCTCACACATCCAGGAGCAAAGAAACTTGTCAACGCTGCCCCATGACTTTTATTAATAACAGTTTAAATATTGAATCGCTACATTATATTTTCCAGCAATGAGAGGATAAAATCGCTGTTTTTGAAGTAAACTCTAAAAAGAGAAACGCACAGACGCGCATACATGCAACTTTCATCTCTCTCGAATTGGCAATATTTGAGAAAAGGGTTTAGTGATTTATAATTATTGGGGGGACTAGCCCCCCTCAATGTCTACGGTGGTTATCGCCCTGATCAGACATGAAAATATGTTGTGGCACTATCGTGCAGTCTCTAATGATATGACGTTAGCAAACTTTAGCGATTTTTTGCAAACATTTCTTTGAGTAACATGACCATAAATATGAACTCACGATTGAATGTAACAAATTATTACTTTTCGTTAAAATCTTTATTAATGCCAAAAATGCTTACATTTATGTGTCTTTTTGTGCGCTTGGGCAGCCATGTTGCCCCTGAAGCCGGTTTACGCTGAGATAATTCATACCCCTTAGTTTGAAGTGTGGCCCCGAAAAATCTTCATTTGAAGGGCTGTCTGGCCCCCTTACCCCTACCCCTCCAACCAAGAGAGAATCGAGACACCCCTACCCCTTCACGTGAACGCGGGAAAGGGGAAGGGCTAAGGGGTAGAATTGGGATTGGGCCTTAGTCTGTCTTACTTATGTCTTTACTTACGGTCAGTGGGCTCAAAGATCTCATAAGTGGCACTAAAACCTCGATCTACTTGTGATGAATCCGATTTGAACACAACAGTCATCTTGTTACTGTTGACGGTAACCATGGTATTAGCAAGCTGCTGCCCACACAATGTGCTGCAAAGACACAAACAAGCATGTGCGTATGAAACCTCCAACTAAATGACTACAAGCACTGGTTCAAACCCCACAATAGTCGATCAAAAAAAGCTAAAAACCTAGAACTTGATGTTGGTATAAATCTAATCCTCCACAATTACAGGATTGGATTGATGTTTAAAAAAATAAAAAATAAAATGTATTTACCATGGAGAAAATTCTGTTTTGTGTACCTTCAGAGAGATACTTTTCTTGATTACTGCACCAAATTGGATTGAATACATAACTTCTACTGAACTAAGTATGTTTTTGCTATAGAATGTATGTTGTATGAGCTTTTGTGATTGTTGTGACTTCTTTACCCTTCTTTGTATATAGTTTTTATGTGCTGAAATTGAAGATAATTTAAAGAAATATACTGAATTGTTAATAATATGAACTTGTCGTGTGAGAAACCTGTTACGTTTGATTTCAAGATAAAGGATCCCTGTTTTAGATGATTAATCTCATTAAAGAAGATATTTGTGAGTTGTAAAAGTTGTAAAAATTACAAACATCAAAGCGGCATTGTCAATTGTTTCCTTTACAATTAAAACATAGTACTTGTTCCATGAGCTTTCCCCATCATGCCCTTGAGATGAGCAATACATGGCATTAGTCAGAATGAGTGATTTATTCATTTATCCCAGAATATTATCGGAGAGGAAAAAATAACACAATTTTCGGCCTTTTAATTATATTTATTAAATATCTCAATATTTATGAACTAAAATGACAAACTACGAACCGCTCATTTACCATTTTTTTATATAAATTTCAAAAGTTTTGTTTTCCAGTAAAATATCTAATGTCATTTAAACTAAATACTTTTACAGGAGAAGTGGAAAAAACAAGAAAATAAAACTTGTTTGCCCCTTTATTTAACCTTCTTAAGCCAATACAGATTTTTTTTCTTGATTCAAGCATAAATCTAACTAAATCTTATTAGATTTTTCTGAAGACAAAACATTTCTTGAGTCACATTTTCTTCTCAAAATAAATATATCTTCTTTTAAAGATTTTTACTAGAAAACAAGACAAAAATAGATCCAAAAGAAATGCTGCCATGCGATTTATCAGCACTCTTGGAGGATCATCACCCAGCCAATCAGATTGAAGGACCAGAACTAACTGTTGTACAATAATCAATTTTGTGAAACGTCTAAATGAAGTTTTAAATTACTGACCTTTTACCAACAATCTGTACATAATCTCCGGAGCAATGATTCAGACTTCCTGTAGAAACCATGAACTTGGGGAACCTTAACTTGACGTATTTACCATCAGGAACCTTTAAACAATAGAGATTGATCTAACACTGTTATAGAAGTCGTTCAACATGACATTCACTGGTTCAAAATGAGTGTCTTACCTCAATGTCCCACTGACATGTGGTGTTGGGTGGGTAATAACTGGGGAAGTTGGGTGATTTAAAACTACCAGAGGTTCCACTCAATTTACCACCACATGCAAGTTCTGTTAAAAGGGGAGCAAGTGTGAGAGAGAATTAGAAAGTTCACAATAAAGCATATTATATGATTATAAAAACATATTAATCAGTCAACTATGCTTTTGTTCAACCAGCCAGGATTCATTTTTACCGCTGCTATCTTGACTGATCTGAGTGACACGGGCTCTGAAACCTGGAAAATTCCCTTCTTCGTTGGTTACCAAGGTGACCAGCATAACATTCCGGGATGAGATGAAAGTTAAGGGATTACTGGGAGAATAAAAGCCACACTCCCTGTTTGAGAGAGAGAAACTTTGAGTTAAAATTTCACAGCCTGATATTACAGTTGCATATAAAGCCACCAGATGGTGCTACATCTACAAACACAGTTCACAATTCCCTTACTCTTCCATTAGGTGTTTGTCCATGGCGACCAATGAGTCATACACTCTCACAAAGTCATTTGAACAGTCTTCTTCCAGGTTGAAGGTGTCAAAAGACAACTTTAGCATGTGGCCTGGGTCTCCTCGAAGCTGCCACTGCACAAAGGAGTTTGGAGCATAAGGTTTGTCAGGGAAACCTGGTGATGTAATGATCTCTTCAGCAGAACTCTTGGCGTGCTGGGCGTATTTTATATTTGCTGGAAATACAGAAAAAAAAAAGGTTATTCTTACACATTTATTATTGGATACACTGTACAATAATGAGTATGAATGTGCTTAGGGAATTCTGTTCTGTTCCAAAACCTACTGAACTTTGGTGCCTATGATTTCCACTATGTGCAAAATGAGAGTTGACCTCATGAGTATTTTACCATTTTATTTGATAAAACTACTGTCAAATACACAACTGCCAAAATAAAACTTAACTTTAATTCTAATAAAAATATATTACTATTGTACAGTAGGATGTAGTTACCAAAGTAACAATAATACAACTTTTTTTAAAAAGAATACCAGAGTTTCAACAATGTTTACATTTGGATATTAATCCTGTCAGGCAGCTCATTGTTTGCCAAAATATGAAAGGAGCCGTTCAAATTTCATTTGATTACATAGATTAACTACATTGTTAAAGTTGTGTGCATTCATTTGATTACCACAGTTTTTGATAATACATAAATAAATAAACAGAATACAGATCAATTAAAGCAAACAAAACAGAATTTCTATAGAAATAAAATATATATAATAGAAAATTATATATATATATATATATATATATACATACTGTATATATATTTCACAGGGCACTATTATTATTTTAATTAATTAATAGCTATATAAATTTAACTGATTAGACATCATTTTTTTTAATTATTATTTAAATTGGGGACTTGGGGTGAAAAAAAGATGGATTCATAGGCCCTAAGCTCTGCTTTGCTGTCTACTGCTTACATACTCTTTAAAAAATGCTGGGTTGTTTCAACCCAACTTTGGGTCAAATATGGACTAACCCAACCGTTGGGTTAAATTTTTACCCCAAAAATTGGGTTAGTCCATATTTGACCCAAAGTTGGGTTGAAACAACCCAGCATTTTTTAGAGTGTAGGCAGCTGCTTTCTATGGCAGCTTTATTTTTAATAACTAATCTTGTTGCAGCTCATTATGGGATTGCTGATGCTGCCTTAAAACTTAGCAAAACTAAAATATCTCAGCATAATTAGGTTACCTTTCGGAACTTGCTATGGAAGAAGCTCACTAGGTTTTGGAACAGAGAGTATATGAGAGACATAAGTAACGGACTACTCACTCCTGGTTTTTGAGAACAAACGTGTGTCCAGAGCTGTTAATGAAAGATTGACACTGTTATAATAAATATGTCAGGCTCAAGACATCAATCTGTGCTTCAGCTTATAAAACAAGCAATCTAGAGATCGGTATCTACTGTAGGTGAATCTCACAAAATCTGTCAAGAACCAGGTCACATTTCACCCCACAATCACAAGACGAACAAAAAAAAAGTAATTGCTTGAGAAACCCATTTTTAGGACATTTTTTCATGATAGTTAAGCACACTCCCCCAACCCCCAATCTCATTACTGTAATGCAAAAAAATAAATAATGATATATTATTTGAAGTACATTTATACATCTGATCAGAAATGTGGGTATTCACATGCAGACATACCTGAAGGCTTGAACTTTGGAACCAACGTAATATTTTGACAGTTGTGGAGATTCTGAGTACATAGATTTTAGCTACATATGAATAAAAAAAATTTCAATCAAACACACTTTTCACAGTCATCGCTATGCAAAAACAAATTAGTTCTAATTTGGTTCTTACCTGAGCCATGACTTGGTTTGCCAAGTCTTTAAACTCTGCACTGTCCGGGTTTTCATATGCATCCACAAAAGCTTGATTTGTTATCCTAAGCGAACCGGTGTAAATCCTCTGTGACTTCAAATCCTTCCGGACTGCAGACACCAGGGAGACATGATCCAACAAACACGTGATCAGCACTATCATACCGGACACTGGTAAGAGTGTTATGCTGTCTGTGGCTGCAGTACTGACTTACAGTGGAAATGCCAGACCAGAAGCCCTATGATCAAAGCCAAAATGGCTGCAAAGATCACCAGAGCAACAATGATCCCAACTTTCCCAGGGCCCCTCTTCTTCTCCAGCTTTTTATTATCCGATGCCGGCAAGAATGTGACAGCTTGTTCCCAGTCCTTATCCTAAAAGCAAAAGAAAAAAAAAATACTTTTTACATTTCTCTGTAGATTTCAGCGTCTCTGAATTCAACCAGAAAAAAGTCAATTTGAAGAAATACATAAAAAATGAAAGCTGCAGCACATATCCTCAACAGAATCAGATTCTGATTGAGAACAGAAAATACACAGTAAATCGCAGAGCTTTTCTGACAGAATAAGTACAGATTCAGATGCATTATATAAGAGCAGAATCAAAACACTTCCCTAGGTGTTGTTTTCAGAGGAGACGAAGGTGGCGCGGTCTCAATTTTTATAAAGAAATCAAATTTTTTTTAAGTAATAGGCACAACCAAAGGGCTTGGTTTTAAATTAATTGTGTTGGGAAAAGCATGCACGGAAATTTGGACTGCTTTTACTTTCTTACTGTAGTTAGTTACTAAATATTATCATGTATTTTAAGCAATACAAAACAAAAAAAGCATATGTGATGAAACTTTATTTTAATAAATATTATGTTAATATAAACCACGCTATAAATATTATAATATTGCTTGCTGGTTGAATAGTACTTCAGATGCCTTTAACCCAGAAATGACATAAATATCACACCGAGCACAAAATATGTGAACATACACTAGCATTCATAAGTTTGGGGTCATTAAGTTTTTTTCCCCCGCACTTTATTTTAAGGTCCAATTCTCAATATTAACAAGCCATTAACTATGACTTTTGCCTCAATAAACTCCTAATTTGCTGCTTCTTAATAGTTAGTAAGGTATTTGTTCAATTTAGGTATTTGGTAGGATTAGGGATGTAGAATATGGTAATGCAGAAAAAATGCTTTATAAGTACTAATATACAGCCAATATGTTAATAACAGGCATGCTAATAAGCAACTTGTTAATAGTGAGAATCGGTCCCTAAACTTTTTTAATAATACTTTTATTCAGCAAGGATGCATTAAATTGAACAGTACATTTATAATGTTACAAAAGTTTTCCATTTCAATTAAAAGCTGTTTACTGAACTTTCTGTTCATCAAAGCATCCAGAAATGTATCATGGGTTCCACAAAATTAAGCAGCACAACTGTGTTCAACATTGATAATAATTAGAAATATTTCCCAAGCACCAAATCAGCATATTAGATTTCTGAAGGATCATGTGACACTGAAAACTGGAGTAATGATGCTGAAAATCTACTTTTGCATCACAGGAAACAAAGTTAAAATAGAAAACAATATTACTGTTTTAATGCATTTCTGTTCAAATAAATGCAGCTTTGGTGAGCATAAGACGGTTTTCAATAATAATCAACGACAATCCTTTGAAAGGTAGTGTGTGTGAAAATGTACATTTCAACAGGTAAACTTAGTCAGTGGGACCTGATTTTATCCATGAGGATAAAAGGATTGAATCATGAGAAGTGGACTAGATTGGAACTTGTCCTAGAAGTGGGTTGAAGACAATAGTGGAGGACTATAGATGAACCGTACACAATAACACCAGGAGTGAGTATTAAGAACATAAGCAGTTGAATTTAAACCGAGACACATCAAACTGGATGCACAATCGAACTGATGACAGAAGTAGAAGGCAAATAATAAGGACATGCTATTCTATGTGGTTAGAGCAATTATCAGGAAACAGATCAAACCTGTGGTGAAACATCAAAAGCTCACTTTATTTGCAGAACACAATAATTCTGTTTGTATTCAGTGAGCATTATTCTCCTTCAATAGGCTTTTTAGTATTGCATTTCAGTACACATACTTAATTTATGTGTAAAAACAGTTGTTTAAAATAAATAAAAGGACAAAAGAGCGTTTACACTTGATGTGAAGTACACCACGTTAAAAAATGTTAGGGTCGGTAAGAGTTTTTAATGTTTCTGAAAGAAGTCTCTTATGCTCACCAAGGCTGCATTTATTTGATCAAAAATACAGTAAAAACAGTAATATTGTGAAATATTATTACAATTTAAAATAACAGTTTTCTGTTTTAAAATGTAAAATATTCCTGTGATGGCAAAGCAGAATTTTCAGGATCATTACTCCAGTCTTTAGTGTCACATGATCCTTCAGAAATCATTCTGTGCTCATAATGAGCTGATTTGTTGCTCAAGAAACATTTATTATCAATGTTAAAAACAGTTGTGCTGCTTAATATTTTGTGGAAACTGTGATACATTTATTTCCACAATTCTTTGATGAATAGTTCAAAGAATAGTATTTATTTAAAATATATTTCTTTAAACAATATAAAAATATATGCTGTCAATTTAATGCATCCTTACCTGAATAAAAGCATTACATTTTTAAAAAATCTTACTGACCCCAAACATGTACTTTGCTCACTATGGAACACTGACCTACAATTGTGTCTTTTACAACCGCTGGTTGTCTCAGTTATCTCAGACTGCCGTCACATGTAGGCCTGTCACGATAACAACTTTTTGTTGTGCGATATATTGCCCCAGAAATAACTGCGATAAGCTATATTATTGTCATTTTAAAGACCATTTAATGCCACTGAATATATAATCATAATGTAACGGCATAATAATGCAAGAAGGCCTACACACTTCCAAATGACAACAAATGTTTAATTTTTAAAGGGGTCATATGATGCGATTTCAAGTTTTCCT